TCCCATGAGGTCCTAGATCCTCCCACCTCCTACAAGATCCCACCTATAGGGGACTGTTTCACCATCCCATGAGGTCCTAGATCCTCCCACCTCCCTACAAGATCCCACCTACAGGGGACTGTTTCACCATCCCATGCTGTCCTAGATCCTCCCACCTCCCTACAAGATCCCACCCCTACAGGGGACTGTTTCACCATCCCATGCTGTCCTAGATCCTCCCACCTCCCTACAAGATCCCACCTATAGGGGACTGTTTCACCATCCCATGAGGTCCTAGATCCTCCCACCTCCCTACAAGATCCCACCTATAGGGGACTGTTTCACCATCCCATGCTGTCCTAGATCCTCCCACCTCCCTACAAGATCCCACCTATAGGGGACTGTTTCACCATCCCATGCTGTCCTAGATCCTCCCACCTCCCTACAAGATCCCACCTATAGGGGACTGTTTCACCATCCCATGCTGTCCTAGATCCTCCCACCTCCCTACAAGATCCCACCTATGGGGACTGTTTCACCATCCCATGCTGTCCTAGATCCTCCCACCTCCCTACAAGATCCCACCTATAGGGGACTGTTTCACCATCCCATGAGGTCCTAGATCCTCCCACCTCCCTACAAGATCCCACCTATAGGGGACTGTTTCACCATCCCATGAGTCCTAGATCCTCCCACCTCCCTACAAGATCCCACCTATAGGGGACTGTTTCACCATCCCATGAGGTCCTAGATCCTCCCACCTCCCTACAAGATCCCACCTATAGGGGACTGTTTCACCATCCCATGAGGTCCTAGATCCTCCCACCCTCCCTACAAGATCCCACCTATAGGGGACTGTTTCACCATCCCATGCTGTCCTAGATCCTCCCACCTCCCTACAAGATCCCACCTATAGGGGACTGTTTCACCATCCCATGAGGTCCTAGATCCTCCCACCTCCCTACAAGATCCCACCTATAGGGGACTGTTTCACCATCCCATGCTGTCCTAGATCCTCCCACCTCCCTACAAGATCCCACCTATAGGGGACTGTTTCACCATCCCATGCTGTCCTAGATCCTCCCACCTCCCTACAAGATCCCACCTATAGGGGACTGTTTCACCATCCCATGCTGTCCTAGATCCTCCCACCTCCTACAAGATCCCACCTCTAGGGACTGTTTCACCATCCCATGCTGTCCTAGATCCTCCCACCTCCCTACAAGATCCCACCTATAGGGGACTGTTTCACCATCCCATGCTGTCCTAGATCCTCCCACCTCCCTACAAGATCCCACCTATAGGGGACTGTTTCACCATCCCATGCTGTCCTAGATCCTCCCACCTCCCTACAAGATCCCACCTATAGGGGACTGTTTCACCATCCCATGCTGTCCTAGATCCTCCCACCTCCCTACAAGATCCCACCTATAGGGGACTGTTTCACCATCCCATGAGGTCCTAGATCCTCCCACCTCCCTACAAGATCCCACCTATAGCGGACTGTTTCACCATCCCATGCTGTCCTAGATCCTCCCACCTCCCTACAAGATCCCACCTACAGGGGACTGTTTCACCATCCCATGCTGTCCTAGATCCTCCCACCTCCCTACAAGATCCCACCTACAGGGGACTGTTTCACCATCCCATGCTGTCCTAGATCCTCCCACCTCCCTACAAGATCCCACCTACTGGGGACTGTTTCACCATCCCATGCTGTCCTAGATCCTCCCACCTCCCTACAAGATCCCACCTATAGGGGACTGTTTCACCATCCCATGCTGTCCTAGATCCTCCCACCTCCTACAAGATCCCACCTATAGGGGACTGTTTCACCATCCCATGCTGTCCTAGATCCTCCCACCTCCCTACAAGACCCACCTATAGGGGGACTGTTTCACCATCCCATGCTGTCCTAGATCCTCCCACCTCCCTACAAGATCCCACCTATAGGGGACTGTTTCACCATCCCATGCTGTCCTAGATCCTCCACCTCCCCTACAAGATCCCACCTATATAGGGGACTGTTTCACCATCCCATGCTGTCCTAGATCCTCCCACCTCCCTACAAGATCCCACCTATAGGGGACTGTTTTCACCATCCCATGAGGTCCTAGATCCTCCCACCTCCCTACAAGATCCCACCTATAGGGGACTGTTTCACCATCCCATGAGGTCCTAGATCCTCCCACCTCCCTACAAGATCCCACCTATAGGGGACTGTTTCACCATCCCATGAGGTCCTAGATCCTCCCACCTCCCTACAAGATCCCACCTATAGGGGACTGTTTCACCATCCCATGAGGTCCTAGATCCTCCCACCTCCCTACAAGATCCCACCTATAGGGGACTGTTTCACCATCCCATGCTGTCCTAGATCCTCCCACCTCCCTACAAGATCCCACCTATAGGGGACTGTTTCACCATCCCATGAGGTCCTAGATCCTCCCACCTCCCTACAAGATCCCACCTATAGGGGACTGTTTCACCATCCCATGCTGTCCTAGATCCTCCCACCTCCCTACAAGATCCCACCTATAGGGGACTGTTTCACCATCCCATGCTGTCCTAGATCCTCCCACCTCCCTACAAGACCCCACCTATAGGGGACTGTTTCACCATCCCATGCTGTCCTAGATCCTCCCACCTCCCTACAAGATCCCACCCTACCATCCCATGCTGTCCTAGATCCTCCCACCTATCCCACCTATAGGGACTGTTTCACCATCCCATGCTGTCCTAGATCCTCCCACCTCCCTACAAGATCCCACCTATAGGGGGACTGTTTCACCATCCCATGCTGTCCTAGATCCTCCCACCTCCCTACAAGATCCCACCTATAGGGGACTGTTTCACCATCCCATGCTGTCCTAGATCCTCCCACCTCCCTACAAGATCCCACCTATAGGGGACTGTTTCACCATCCCATGCTGTCCTAGATCCTCCCACCTCCCTACAAGATCCCACCTATAGGGGACTGTTTCACCATCCCATGCTGTCCTAGATCCTCCCACCTCCCTACAAGATCCCACCTATAGGGGACTGTTTCACCATCCCATGCTGTCCTAGATCCTCCCTACAAGATCCCACGGTGGAGACAGATGATACCTATAGGGGACTGTTTCACAAGCGTTCTGATAATATAGAGCGCTGGAGATCCACCCATGTATTTATGTTCATTTCAGAGACTAGTTGTTAGTCTACGAGGTCACAGGCACCTGCTTCTACTTGCTTTCTTTCCACATTCAAGTTCCTAGCAACTGGCATCTGTCTTATGATGCACTGATTGACCTGGCTGTATCAGTATTACTTTTAGATATTTGCTGACATATATGGTTGTAATTCCTAATACTTGGCTGACTGACTGAGTTTGGTTTTACACCGCTTTTAGCAATATTCCAGCAACATCACGGCAGGGGACACCAGAAATGGGCTTCACACATTGTACCCATGGGGGGATTCGAACCCGGGTCTTCCACATGACGAGCCAACGCTTTAACCATTAGGCTACCCCACCGCCCCCCTAATACTTGTTCACCTTGTGATTAACATTTATATTTAAAGGCTTCTTTCAGGTACGGTGAGTTTAAATACATTTGACATACTATTAAATTTTCCACTGAAATGCTGCACATATGTAAGATTACAACATTGCTAATTTCTTGACATTTGTATTAATCCAGATTAAGCTGCTCTCTTTTATGATACTTATTGAATAAAGGAGATCCAACTTTCATCTGTACCCACAAGTAAGATTTTAGATATGAAGAGGGCTGAATGTTGAAACTTCCGTATCAGCAAAATATATCACATATGTATTCTATGTATTGTTGATCCCTGCTAACGCATTACTCTCCCACAGTCCTTCACAAAACAAGAGTCAACAGAAGATGACATATCCCCCCGGCCCCCACATCTTTGAAAGAACAAATCATCTGACAGTTACTTAAAGTCCAGCTTGATTTTAGACAAAGTGCAAATCGTTTCCATGGAAATCATGAAAAACATAAATGACAAATATCTGCAAATAGCAAAAGGCACCACTTCAAGATCTGCCTAACATATCTGCCAAATTTTAGTGAAAGATGTTAAGAAGTTTTTGAGCTGTGCTCCAGAAACGAAAACTACCTCTCCCTTTTGAGACTAAGTCCAAATCGTTTCCATGGAAACTGAGAAAAATAAAAATGAAAAAAATCTGCAAATAGCAAAAGGCACCACTTTGGGATCTGCCTAACATATCTGCCAAGTTTTGCTGAAAGATATTAAGAAGTTTTCGCGTTGTGCTCCGGAAACGAAACCCACCCCTCCTTTTTGAGACTAAGTCCGAATCGTTTCCATGGAAACCGAGAAACATAAATATGACAAAAACCTGTAACTAGCAAAAGGCACCACTTTAGGTTCTGTTAGATATATCTACCAAGTTTTGCAGAAAAATACTGAACGGTTTCTGAGTTATGCTCCGGAAACGAAGCCCATTCCTCCCTTTAAGACTAAGTCCAAAACGTTTCCATGGAAACCGAGAAAAATAAAAATGACAAAATTCTGTAAATAGTAAACGGCACCACCTTAGGTTCTGTTTGATATATCTACCAATTTTTGTTGAAAAATATCGAACGGTCTTGGAGTTATGCTCCGGAAACAAAATGATTATGGACGGACGAGGTGACGACTATATCCCCCCGCATTACATGTTGGGGGGATAAAAATGTTATCATTAACATGATTAACAATAAAGTTCTTAAAGACAAAACACTGGCTGTTATGCTACTTATCACACTGTTACTGATGGAAGTGTTATCAATAAAGAGGATAGAAAATCTGCATCTTGTCATCAGCAACATATATGGAACATACTCTGTGATTCAATCCGAGGACTGGAAGTTTTAATTGCTGCCATCAGGATCAAAGAGGAATGCTCAAGTCTGGATTAAAACCCACAGATGCTGGTATCATGTAGAAAAATACTCAGGGCGCATCTGGTATTCAAACCCATGATGATAAATATCTGAACAACAAATTAGTTAAAGACAAGATTTGTGTTTATTCAACTTCCCGAAAGCTTTCCAAAGTGGAATATGTCTCATTTGAACTGACATGAAGGTCAGATGTTTAACACATGGTTCAGCTAACTATACACCAAGTATCATCTTATTTACACAGGTGAGTGTGTTAACACATTTGTCACCAGAATGTCGTTCAGGTCTGGTCACAATCACCTTCATCATTGCTGTTATTGTTTACATTAGTTTCTTCCTCAACTTTGTCTATATCACCTTTGTGGATTTTCTTCAACTTGAAATTTTGAGCATATTTTGTTTCACCACCCCACAGTTTGAACTGATTGAAGGTTGATTTGTTCATTAAATCAGGGACTTCAAGTCCAACACTCTCCAGCTCGTTCCTGTCACTGTCTTGGGTGAGCTTAATAGCAGCTAGCCTGGATGCATGCTGGTTGCCTTGTCGGTTTCCAATCCGAGACACTATGTCAATCTGCTCAATCTCCTCATCAAACCTGTGTAAGTAACGATTACTGAGTTCACACAGCTCTTCCCGTGTATACACAGTTTTGTCAGGGTCAAAGTTGTCTCTGAACCAGTCACACTTTTCGGCAAGAACATCCAGCTTACTTCTTGCTGACTTATCTTGAGAAATTCGCACTTCGCGAAACGCTTTCCTTGACAACGCCGCTGCCTTCCTGCTGTTTGGGTGGATGGGCTTTTTGTTTTGACCAACCTTGGCTTTAGGTGCCTTAGGCATATTCCTTGTTACTCTTGCTTCTAGTATTCCGTCGGTTATTTAAGTCTGACTAACGGTTGTCGCCAAACATCCCTTGCACCATAATACGAACACGTGTTTTCAACGGAACCGGAAGTACCGTGTTTGATAAGTACTTTTATCCAATCACCGCCTTAGAAAGTATTCCTCGCGTGTTTGACATCTTCGTGCATGTGGGGTGAAATGCTTGCTTCAAGATCTTTAGTCATGGCATCGAGACTGTCAAACTACTGCAGAAGGTAAATCACAGGCAGGGAGACTATTTTAGTATGAATGCCATTAAACCAAATTTAAAGTGCGGGTTTTGGTAGAATCTAAATGACGATGAACTATCTTTGACCTTAACGTCCCTCGTTCCATTTTCGATCAGGGTAGGACATTGAATACAGTTGTGTTTTTTCTATAATATATACCACTTTTGACTCCATGTTAATACACAAAAGTTAACGGCAAAGTTAACCAGAATTAAAAGTGTGAAATCAGTGAATAATCATCCAAGATCCATGAATTATTCACAATATATCTTCAAACGTAGCCTGGAACCGTGACTGTGTCTTGCAGGCAAGACATGTTGTAAGGTCGAGCGTCACGCCGAAGACCCGGGTTCGAATCCCCACATGGGTACAATGTGTGAAGCCCATTTCTGGTGTCCCCCGCCGTGATGTTGCTGGAACATTGCTAAAAGCGGCGTAAAACCAAACTCAGTCAGTCAGTCAGTGTAAGGTCGAGTTTGACTGTTGGAACTCGTCGAGGCGTACGTAGAAAAAGACCCTACTTTCAGTCAGTTGTGTGGCAACAGCTACTGGGAGTACTGCACTTTACCGGGCGAATTTTTTCAGATTAATTAGCGCTGCTGGGGCTCGGACGTAAAGGGTGCCATACCCTAACCCTAAGGATTGGAAAGGGTGCTAACCCTAAACCCTAAGGATCGTAAAGGTTCCCTAACCCTAAGGATTGTAAAGGGTGCCATACCCTAAACCCTAACCCTAAGGATCGTAAAGGGCTGTTTGACTCTAAAGATGCGTCAGCTCCCTAAGGATGGTTGACTGGTAAGTGAAGGGAGATGGAGCAATTACCTTGATATAGCGAGACAGTGCTGGAGACAGCGCAGTAGCGCTATGGCGCGATAATTACCCCACAGCCAACACTGAGGGCTGCACCCGGTAAAGTGCATTCTAGCCCAGCTACTGAATTAGTCTCTGTCAAATATATGTTTATCTTTAAACAGGCCTGTATGTTCTTGAATCCAAATGTTTGTTGGAAGCAGTCAGAAGTAATCAGTAGGCTAGGAACACCTTTTGAATTCAGCACCACAGCTTCACGTGAGGACAGTCTCTGCCGTAGGTCTTATGTTACTGAGACAAGTGTTCTGAGAATTTCTCAGATGGCAACTTGTGACCTTCAGATTATTAGCCTGACAGCTGACCGACTGAGCTAGGTCGACACTCTTATATTATGTGTGAATTTATCTGGTCATTCCCATTGCCTTTAAGGTGAACGAAAATGTCCAATAGGTCTGGGACAATTATGAAGGTTAGCGATAAACATGGTGTCTGTTGTCATGTAGTACATTTGTCCCATTCTGTAATCTGCAAGATTCCATGTCCTGAGATATGAGCAGATATGGCATGAACTAAAACATTTGTGATCGTCAGACATCAAATTCCTTGGTGTACGCGACTGACATGGTATTCAGCGATTCCCAACGTAATTTTGTGACAGAAAAATGTTGTAGAAAACACTGTGAATAATAGTAAGGAACGCACAGCCGGTGACACCACAAAGGCGAGTCGGCTCTCATATCAGTACTAATCATTAATTATTGAAGCAGATAAAAGTGGTGTGGGTGACAATCCTATGACAGTTTCCAGAAGCCAAATTGTTAGACATTAAACAATATAATCCTGTTCAGTTGTTGTTTTTTTGTGTGAAAATATCATAAAGGTAAATTAAAGATAAAAAGCAAACTATCTGAAATTTACCAGATGAAAGATCCTGCCTTTTATAAATGCATGAGCAGCTGGTACAGCCCCCTTAAACCATCAGTACATGTCTTCCTCGTTGCTTTCATTACAAAACGGTAAACCTGAGACCAGAGGTCCGATTTATTGCAAAAGATGTCCCTTACAAGATAGTGTATGAACGGGCAGATGTGGATCTGTGCATATCAATATACCATACTTAATAAACTGCATTACTGTGCATAAAAATGAAACTCACTGGATCAAAAAGAAAACATGCATGTTAGTTCCCAGTTAAAATGCTTTTAGCCCTTTAGATTACCTTAAAATAGAAATCCAGATTTTGTTTGGAATAGTTATTTTATAAACTAACGCCTTGTCGAAAGTTGGATTCTGTAAATATATATTGAAAACTCAACATCACTGGGCTTATTCACTGATCATGCATGTACAGATGATGGAGCTGTTTCACACTCTTGACCAATGTATTTTTATATTGTTTTGCAATCAAATTTTACAAATTGCATCATAGGGTATTTTGGCATTTATATGGTGCTGAGTTCTAAAGGTAGAAGAAGGCACATCACAAACAGGGTGAAAAAACCCTCAAGTCATTATCACTCTTGAAACTATCCCATTCAGAAACTTCTGGAATGATCAAGATTGCTTTGTTTTGTTCCCACGGGTGGGAACTCCACTCACTCACTCTGGTACTATGATGATTGGTTCTCGGCCGTGTCATAGCAAGAGACATAGATGATGTTACTTGTTGTTGTTACCATGCCTGGTGGTTGTCATTACAGGGATAAGACCGCTAGTGGTTGGCTCATGAATAGTATACCATTAAAAAAAGGTAGGGGATATTCCTTTTTTCGAGCATACCACTAGCCACTGCCAATGCATAGGAGAAAAAGTAATGTATATCCATGCAGATGAAACACTTCCAAAGAAATGGAATAAATTGTCACATTTTCCCTTAATTTCTCTTAATCATCTGTTTCCTCCTTTGCATTTTATCAATCTTGTAAATCCAATATCCCCTACTTTTTTTGAATGGTACATATACTTGTCTTATAAGTATCCTTATCTTACCTGGTTGACGCATGTCATCGGTTCCCAATTACGCAGATCGATGCTCATGCAGTTGATCACTGGATTGTCTGGTCCAGACTCGATTATTTACAGACCGCCGCCATATAGCTGGAATATTGCTGAGTGCGGCGTAAAACTAAACTCCTCACTCCTTATCTTACCTCACACATAAATGTTGTTTTCTGATTGGCTGAGCCAATCAATGTTCCCAGCTTACAAGTGAGTAACATTTTCTATGTTACCCGCTGGAAATGCCAAACTATGGGAATTCGTTTGGTATTTCGTGTTAGTAGTGTTTGGTCTCTTGTTTACTCGGGTACTCATCATTATGATCCAATACCCATGCTTCAAACAGTTCAAAATTAACATTGAGGTGTCGATAAAATAAATATGTTGTTCACTGGTCCGTCGGAGCCCATGGGTTGATGTACCATCTATGTTTGTTTATGTTCCCTGAGCCCGAAGGGTACATCAACCCACCTTACCTTTTTGTACAAATTGGTACTCATCATTTCAAGTGATCCAATAAAGATCCCCATTCATTGTCAAATGTCTTAACTAATATATATGGTATGTTCCCATTTTTCATGTAGGTTTGCATTGTAAATGTCTATTTAGGTTTGTGTATTTACATATTTCAAGAATATGGTAGCAGTTGAAAGGGCTTCATTGTGTTTGCTTTTTAAAATGGTTTTACTTAGCAGTGAGTGTGGGTTTGAATCCCAGTAATTCTCCCTATTTCTATAACCTGTGCGCTTTCTTCCAATATAAACTGCTAAAAGTGATGTCAAACCCAACTCAAAATTAACTAACTGATGAATTTAAAAGAAACTAGTAACTGTTTATAAGAAACTTTTGTAAAATGCTTGGATTGAAATGAAACGAAATATATGCAATAGCTACACTGGCCACACACAGGTAGTTCATACCACAAGCAGTTAGCTGAGAATCTTTATTTCAGACTGGTGTGTCGACAGCGAGCTTCCCTCCAGACCCTGCCCATGACTGCCTCTGTACGGTCGTGTAGTACAGGAGTTATCCCCCCTCCACATGTTGAAGGTACAGAAAAACAATATCCCCCCAAAATACAGAAGATTGTGGAGGAAATAAGTGGACTCACATTGTTTGAAGTCGCAGACTTAAATGAGCTTCTCAAGGTAAGTGTTGTCTGAATAATTTTCTGTTTTCCAGTTTTTTTACACAGAACAAATTCAACAATGACTACAAGACAAGAAACAAGAGGTAGGTTGTGTTTCTGGTCTCTGAACCCGAATCTTGACTCAAAGCCTTTTTATCCCCCACAACAACGAAGTTGCGGGGGATATAGAAACGAGTTCCGTCCGTCCGTCACACTTTGTCCGAAGCATATCTCCTAAACTATTGATGACATCTTAACCAAACTTGGTACACATATCAACCATATCCCTAGATGTGCCTTTTGGGGGTTAGACCCAGATATGAATTTTATTTTTTGTGGTTTCCATGGAAACGTGACTTAGGCTGTGACTATGAGGATGTCATCTTGTCTGGAGCAGATCTTCCAAACTATACATGCTAGCTTCATCAAACTTGGTACACATATCAAGCATGATCCCTAGATGTGCCTTTTGGGGGTTAGACCCAGATATGAATTTTATTTTTTGTGGTTTCCATGGAAACGTGACTTAGGCTGTGGCTATGAGGATGTCATCTTGTCTGGAGCAGATCTCCTAAATTATACATACAAGCTTCATCAAACTTGGTACACATATCGAGCATGATCCCTAGATGTGCCTTTTGGGGTTTAGATCCAGATATGAATTTTATTTTTGGCTGTTTCCATGGAAACATGACTTAGGCTGTGACTATGAGGATGTAATCTTGTTGCATTTTCCATGGCAACAAGTTAGGCTTCAACTGAATTTGGTGGTAGTGCTTCTTTCTGGAGAAGATCTTAAAACCTTTCAATACTCTCCTTCCACTTTGCTGTATACACTCCAAAACATTGACATAATCATAATTAGTAGACATATTCATAAAGAGTATTTTGCCGTTGCTGGGGATATTGATGACTTTGTCTTCTTGTTTATCACTTTCATGAATTCAGTGATAGTTTCTATCACCCAGTATTGTACATATTTTATGCCACTGTGATTCTACATTTGTTGCGCTTCAATTGAGACAAATAATAGGTAAATCTGTAAATTTCTTAGTGAGCATGCCTTTACCGATATTGAGTTGAGAAACCATGTTTATCTGCAGCATGGTAACCGAGTAGACTGGTACCAGTTCTTTGTTATGGGCTGGAAGATGCAGATACGCACTGGTGCTTGTTTAAAGGTGCAAGAATCTTGAACACAACCTAAACTCTATTTTGACTCACCTGTAGTATTCTTGTCAGTGATACTCTATTATTGGACTACATTTTGTTTTGTAGAAAACCCTGAACATCGCTGATGCCCCCATGATGGCCATGGGAGCAGCGGCAGCTCCAGCAGCGCGGGTAAGTCCAGCCGTAATCAGGGGGTCACCGATCAATACTTGTCTCATGACAGTGTCATGCAGTTCAAGTTCTGTCTACAATTGTCTGCAACAATTTAGTTTTGGTGTTTTACACATTACCATTAAGTTGTTAGTTGTTCAGGTATATTTTTAACAAAACCCATGAATTCAAAAGATGGGGAACTTGTCACAATAATGGAAGTGTCTTTGACAAACCTGTCACTTATCAGCCAGATTAGCCCCGTCCATATTCAGCATATCTTTGATGGACTAGTGACCTACGAGCTAGATTAGCCCAGTTTAACCCAGTCAACCATTCAGTACATCATTGATGGACTAGTGACCTATGAGCTAGATTAGCCCAGTTTAACCCAGTCAACCTGCAGCATATCTTTTATTGACTTGTCACTTATCACACATATTAGCCTCAAATAACCCCAGTCAAATTCAGCATGTCGTCGCTGCCTGAACTGTATGCAGACTCACACATTGTTGAGGTATGTTTCAATGGGTTTCTATTTCCAGGAAGAAGAGGAAGAAGAGGTGGCCCCTAAAAGAGAGAAGATGGCTTTTGCAGTGAAACTTGTCAAGATTGATGCAAGCAAAAAAATTCAAGTCATCAAAGAAATTAAGAATCTTATATCAGGGATGAACTTGGTACAGGTGAGTTGCAATCAGTGCTTAGGTCACCTGGATATGCTGAGTACTAAATAGCCATTCCCAAAATGATCTGTTATTCGAATCTAGATATACTGAACAAAAAAAAGAAACTTCAAGTGTTACTTTATGTCCCAAGCATACCGGCATAGAACAAACAGTCTTCATAGTAGATAAAACTGGTTTATGGACATCATGAGCGTACACTAAAACAGGATAAGGCATAAGGTGTGCTTGGTCACTTTCTTTTTTCATAAGCCATCAGTATTGGAGCTTGTTCAGTATTCACAACAGAAAAGCAACATCCGAATTCACTGCCTAACACCCGTAAACACAGCATAAGGCAATCAGTGCCTTTGCTGTACCAACATGGCGTCCAGCTCTTCAACATGCTGGGGTTTGATGTTGAAGACTTCTTCTATGAGCATCTGATAAGTGCTTGATGGGATTGAGGTCAGGTGATGTTGATGGCCACTCCATGACGTCAATACCCGCATTTTGTAGGAAATTTTGTGTCAAAACAGCTGTGTGTAGTGTCCCATTGTCATGTTGGAATTGAATCGGAGGCCTGGGACATGAGCAGCCATGATCGGAACCACCTCAGAGACAAGGATCTGGTCACGATATCCCGGTAGTGATTGTTCCTGTAGAAAGCTCCTCAGACCATTATGCTACCAGCACAAACTCGATCAACTTGCTGTACACAGTACAGGGCATGATGTTCACCACTCGCACTCTTCTCTCGGCAAATTGCAACGTAAAATGTGACTCGCTAAACACAACCCTATTCCAGCACAGGTGCAGTTGTGCCCAGCATAGATGTTCATTACTGTTTCCTAGTGTCAGAATCTTCCTAACATGAAGATGGGTAGCGCGCAAACAATTTCATATGGTGTGGGCAGATAACGCAACCCCTTGAAGAGAATGCTACAGGTTGATGTTGCAGTCCTAAAATAATTACGCAATGATCTCTCGAGGATTGTTAACATATTTTTTCTAATCACCAGCTATTTTTGCACTTACGTGGTTGATAAGGCACATGGTGTTGTGGTCACCTGTACATGTGCCTACACCTGCATGGTTCACCACTGAAGTGGTGGCCATTATGGTATTCGCCAATATTAACTACCCTGTAATGACCATTTTCAGTGTCATACATTTCTCCAAATGTGAAGTTTCTTGTTTTGTGCAGTATATTTTCGTCAATATATTTTTTTTATAGTGTTCAGCTTTAATTCAGCCATATTTTGATGAACATTCACTCTTACCTGACTTCAGCGTGTGACCTATATTACATATTTAAGTCAACGGGTGGCATTGTAGCCCAGTGGTTACAGCATTCGCGCATCATGCCGAAGACCCAAGTTCTATTCCCCACATGGGTACAATGTGTGAAACCGTTTATGCTACACCTTCAAGGTGTAAGGGCAGTGGGATATCCTAGCGGTTAAATCGTTCACTCATCACGCCAAAGACCTGGGTTCAATTCCCAACATGGGTACAATGTGTGAAGCTGATTTCTGGTGTCCCTTCCCTGGATATTGCTAGCAATGTTGCTAAAAGCAGCATAAAACCAAACTCACTCACTTCCCTTACTTCAATATGTTACCTTTATTATATTTATAACTAGGACTCTGTTTGTTTCAGGCCAAGAAATTCGTGGATTCCCTTCCCCAGGTAGTAAAGGCTGATATTCCGAAGGATGAAGCCGAGAAATTAAAGGAGACTCTCATTGCAGTGGGTGGAGAGGTTGAGGTCGACTGATTGGTCAGTCTCGGGATGATTTCATTGGCCAATGGACTTACATGTGACTGCAATTCTACATGATGTTACTGTGAACAAGGAAGGTGAACCAAACGCTGCCGCGTCCACACGAGTTGGATTGCCTTGTATCATGTGTTTGAACTCTGATGATGAGATGTGTACCACAAAACTAACCTGACCAGCATGCATTCATGAAGCTGACAATTGGCTCACGGCACAGACTTGTTTCTTTGTTACTTTGTTCAATGTGCTGGTTGTCAAGGCGAGTCACCATGGGCAGGTTATTATCTGTAATACAGTCCAGTGTGTAGGTCATATTTCCTTGGTTATGGTAGAACTTGATCAAATAGCATTTTAATTCCTATTGATTTGGTCAAAATGTCCAAGTGATCGAAGGTGATGAATTTTAAATTGATAGATTTTGCTAACAAGTTTCGACAGCCATGTTAGCATTTCACTAGTCAACCTTCCATGGTTATATTTAGTTCTTAGATGATGGCACATCTGTCATTGTCCATTTTGTGTTGACAACACTGAACAGCAAAGACTAGCAGCTTCAAGAACAGGTACATGCTTCATCCAAGGGCAAAATGGCCTTGGAGCAGAAGGCATCATTATTGGTTCCCATGCATTTAAAGAAACATGGATTGGCATTGTATATATTGATATTCATCTTGTTATTTGTGTGAATGTGTGATAGATTTTGAGTTGCAGAGAATAATTCCTAGTGCTAAAAACAGCTTGGTCAATACCAAGAGTAGATGAATCACTGTACAAGATAGTAAGCTAGGGCTGTCACTGTAGGCGCGTCTCTAGATTCATAAAATGTATTATTACACCAGAAAGGGAACTGCTTAACTTCGCATTTGAAAACACCAGGGATAGCAACAGGAAAATCTATTTTCAGCGGAAAACTAAATATTGAATTTTCAATGACAATTTATAACTAATGTAGAATAAAATAGGTGGAAAAATGCCATTCCTGAAGGACATTACCCTGAAACACAACACAAGTAATATTTATGCTATGGTGGGAAATGGAATGAATGTGTTTACTGATGTCATCAGAATGGTACCCAGTACCTGGGGTATTTTCCGTGATCCGAGTTGCTGCTATTGAGGAAATACCTCTGGTCCTTCCGAAGTTTTACTACTGCTCTCGAACCAACTGTCTTACGTGTATTTCAAACCCCAATGTTCAGTTCATTGCACACATTGAAATCATGAAGTTGTGAAAGTCTTCCAAAGTTTATAGCAGTGTGAAATCTCTTAGTTCCCTGACAAGTTTGGCAGGATAATTACGAAGAAGTCCCTAGTCTTGAAACAAAATAATTCACTCGTTTAAAGGTTACTGAGTACAAGAGTATGTTATCAGTCTGTGACAGCCCTAGTTGAGACAGCAGTGTGTATGAATGATACACCTTGAACCTGATATAAATATGTACCCTTGAAACTGTTTTGTTATGTCTTCATTACTCCTGATCACTGCAAGGCTTGGCCACTGGCTGTGTAAACTTGCATACCTTTCACTTCCCAGTTTCGACCTGTTTATGAGCATTGTCCAGTGTTAAAATCTACCAGCTGGCTGAGTGGTCTGTAAATAATCGAGTCTGGACCAGACAATCCAGTGATCAACAGCATGAGCATCGATCTGCGTAATTGGGAACCGATGGTGTGTCAACCAAGTCAGCGAGCCTGACCACCCGATCCCGTTAGTCGCCTCTTACGACAAGCATGGTTTGCTATTCTATCCCGGATCTTCACCAGCTGAATCACTTTGGCTCTACCATGAAACCGTCACTAAACAGTGTTCACATTATTCTGGTGTAATGGTGCATCTGTTAGGTTAAGCAGGGCTCCAGATAAGGGGCGTATGTACGAATAAAACATAAGCAAGATACGGTAGGAAATAATTTAGAAATGTAGCAGATACGCACCACAGTAATGGTGTACGGTCTTAGAATCATTTACAGACGTATTTATCTGAAAAAGTATTGTATATTATTGTTTATTGACCTGTTTACACAAGAGTAGCAATGTTGTGCATATATGAAACGAAACACAAGATTACTGATACGCCATAAAATTCCATTCATTACTCTAAATGTACTCTTAATTTTTTCCAGTACTCCTATATTGAAAATATAAGGAGTACGTACTCCTGATGTTGAAAGATTATCTGGAGCCCTGGTTAAGGATAACACCCGAACCAGATGGAATTCTAGTATAGAAAGGCCTTTTATCTAGGGAAAACCTGAGGGCGCTCAAGGGTCTTCCCGTAGGCAAAGGCCTCTCTTTACAAGAACGCCTGAGGTTGAGAGTGTTATCTATCTTATATACCGAAACCAATCACTGATGATGCCTTCGTTGATGTTTGTGTTTCAAAATTGTCTGTCGCTCGACCCTGTTCAATCCCATCTGAAATCCATACCCCTCCTTTGAAATGAACATGACTGGTTGCATGTGCATGTGCGGTCCGTGAAGGCGGTGCACCCAAGCATATCTAGTATAACAGGGTAAAACAAGCTGTTCAAATTCGTCAGTCCCGGTAGCACAGAGGTCCAGTGTAAGATTTACGATTTGAATACAGGTATTTAGTGGTTCGATCCCAGCATATGACACAAAAACTTTTCACTTGAAAATGAAATTCTACAGATATTTTTCAGTGGGGCTTCTAAACTTACAACGTTGACGAGCAAGTTGCCTCGAGTATTTCAAAACCAGTCAATCAACACAAGGGGCTGCACAAGACAAATAACACAAGCAATACTGTCATAACACATGGAAGTAGTTGGTTGTTGATGAGCACCCTGAAATGCCTTTAGTTGTGTGGAAGCAGCCAGAGAATGCTGACAAGTAGTGTTGAAGAAACCACAGCACCAGGGCTACTTCTGTTCCCTGATAGAATTCAAAACACAAAATACATATATAATACTTCATTTTATTCATAAAAATAGTAATACTTAATTCATTAAGTAATAGAAGAACAACATGTATCCCACAGTATGAATGCAACAACCTCCATTAAAACATGGGATACTTAGCACTGGTTGTCCACTGACACAGCAGATACAGTTGTGGTGGGAACAAAGTGCAGCATTTCCCATGAGAGCAACAAGGTGAACTGTAAGGCACCAGATGGGGTAGCTATGATTTCAAAATGTTTTTTCAAACAGTTTTCATATGCATTACTACCCTGTGGGCAATCACAAGCATTTGTCAGAAATCCATTTTTCGCTTTTTAAAACTAATAAACCAAGTGTAAAATAATATGGATTTCTATGAACAAGTTTGTTGTGAACATGAGGGTTCCATACTATACCTCAAAACAATAAAAGTTTAAACTAAATGTTTCCTCAACTGGATGGGAGAGGGACCATCTTTTCCCTGCCCCTCCGAACACACATTTTATTTGCATTCAATGATACGGAGGCATGAAAACACTTAACATGCAGTGAACAAGATGAAAACATAAGTGTTAAAAAACGTTTAATCTCGCACCCAACTCTTACAACCAACCTTAACCAAAACAAAGACAGGTCCCCACTGATTCAGCAGACCAATGAATACAGAAGAATTAATCACTAACAACAATAACATTCTCTCTCAACTGGCAACAAATCATTCATACTGCACTCACAAGATCAAGGGGAAACAAATGACATGCTTCAGTCTGAGATACAGCCCTTTCCAATATTGCAGCATTCCAAATGTCAGAGAAATGTTTCAAATTCTTCATGTCAATGTTTCTAATTCCAACTACTAAACATATTTTATGACAGTATATGAAAATAGCAATTGATGGCTCATGATGTGACATTGTCCATGTTATCAAAGCACAAGGATAGTGAGACGGATGATGAATATGGATGCAGATAATCATAAAGAGTCAGCTTGTCCATGGTCAGGGCAGCCTGTAATGAACCTTTCTTATCCATGTTCAGGGCCATTTACTCCCAGTCTTTCTGTGTATTTACTCTACCAGTCCTCAAATCCAGGCAGAGAAAACTTGACAGCAAACTCCTCCACGCGGGTCTTCAAGGTCTTGACCTTGTCCAGTACTTCTGGGTCTGTAGACAGCTTGGTCTTGAACTCACGTAATGTTGGTCCACTTGAACTCACAACTTCTTGAGTAAGGAGAATAGCTGCAACCAGGAGTGTACAGGGTTGGCATCCATGTAGCAGTATGTGAAAATATGGTAACAGGCCAAGAAGTGTAAATTATCAACACAAGCTGAGAGTTGTACCGAGATGCCATCTCTATTGAAACAACCATCAGTTAAACATGTGTTGGAAATGTCAAAAACAAACAACCTTGTTGTTCACGTCTGCAGATTTCAGTTATGTTTCCTCTGCTGATATACAAGGTCCTGATCAGCATTCTGCTTCACTAATAAGTGGCGAGTGGGGCGTCGCACAAACAGATGGCAACTGACTTGCCTTCATGGATATGAAAGCACTGAGAGTTTCATTGTTGAGTGCAAGTATTCTGCTTTTTTCAGCAAACTATACAATCCTGTGACTACTCCCCTCAGTGTTCTAATGGCTGACATTCACATATTGGGAACATTTTATGCATATTGTTTCAATGCCCAGTGGTCCTACACAGAACAAGTGAAGTGAGTATGTGTGTGAATAAATTCCCTGTTAAAATGAAATTCTAGCATCAACATACAATGACATTGTGTGAATCCAATGACCTACGTTTGTGGACCATTATGAGGAAATTGAATGCACCCACCTTCATGTATGAATTCAACAACACGATCGAAATCTCCCTCTGTCAATCCTCGTGAGGTAAGCGCTGGGGTGCCTATACGCAGTCCGCTAGGCTTCAGAGCACTCTTGTCGCCAGGGCAGGTGTTTTTGTTCACGGCGATACCAATGTCCTCCAGCACCTTCTCTGCACGTGCGCCATCCAGCTTCTGGGGCCGGAGGTCCACCAATACCAAATGTGTATCAGTTCCTCCTGAAAGCATCACATTTTACTGTCAGACAACTGTGATTCATTTCCGAATGACTCGTTGAACACAGGAGGTAGTGCTGGCCTCCAACCATATAATACCTCATTAGCGTTTGTTCTGTTTGTTTATCAAGGCAATCAGCAACACTGAAGACGTATGAAGGAAGGCCAAAAATTATCAGTAGACCAGATAAGTGATTGCTACGAGCAACGATGAACACCATTAGGTTAAGATAGCACATAAATTAACTGGTCACCTAATCCCTTCAGTACTTTCTGAAGATAAGCATGCAGTGCTTAGGACAAATTTTAATATGGAATCCCTACAAATAGAACTGCTGTACTGATTGTCTTCAGGTCACATGTTACATGTGTGGGCACACGTACCTGAAACGATTGTGTATCCCTTGTTCTGCAGCCCCCTGCACAGGGCCTTGGCGTTGACCATCACTTGTTTCTGGTACACCTTGAACTCTGGTTTGGTAGCCTGCTTCAAGGCTACGGCAACAGCTGTACAGGGAGGAGGGGACATATACAATGTTGAAACTACCATACTAATGTTACAAACCACAAGCTGGATAACAATCAACCTGTGAAATGGAATTTTAAACTTTGTTTTACATCTGTTTGCAATTTTCCGACTGTACAGCCAACAAATCTACCCAAAAAGTACAGTGGACTCTGTCAATACCGCCTCTCTTAACACCGCACTCTGTCTACATCGGCACAAAGTTTCGGTCCCGCAGAAATGCACGCTATTATCATTTAGAAACTTCTGTAAACATCGGCATCTGTCTATTCAGGATATCGGCATTGTTTTTCAGTCCCAACGAACAAGTTGTTATGAAAACGAATCTGTAAAACCGCACATGAAAGACGGCGTAACCCTTTGATGCAATTAGGTCCAAATGATGTAACAACACAATTCGCTGTGACTCCGAGATTATTCAGAAACGGAAGTGTTAATCAGTATCTTGTTAATCAGTGAGTGGTAATGCGTAACACTTACCCAGAGTAATTAATACATGTAGTGGGCAGTTTGACTGTATAAACAAGCAAGTGTTTACATTTTGTTGATTCGCTGGGTATTGACTTCCGAGATTATTCAGAAACGAGAAGTGTCAATCAGTTTCTTGTTAATTAGTGAGTGGCACGTGTCACTTACATAGAGGCTTAATCGCTTGATGGCGGTATCGCTCGAAAGCTCTGAACATCAACAATATCACTGTACTCTTGCCGAGAGTATTTTCACATTTGTAAGAAGCAATTTTATTGGATAAAGATTGGTTTCTAACGACGCTTTTCACTACACTCTGCTTATAAGGGTCGTGATTGGTCAAAATCAGACACGCGACCTAAGCAGCCAATCATATTATGGAAATGGATACCTTCTTCAGAAACGAAAACTTTTAGATTAAGACGAAAGTTTTTGGGTAAAATAATGCTATTCTGAACATATTAAGAAAGACATCGCTACCTATAATGTGAATTATGGAACGTATTGGACATATCGTGGCTAGGTTATGGCCTATGACAAAAATGCTTCATGCATATATTTTCACATTAAGCATCGTGGTGCGGCCCAAGACGGAGGCGGTGAAAGCCGAGATGTAACTTGTCAGTGACTTGACTTACATTGCATGATCGCACAAAAGTATGGAAATAGTAATTTTATATGTACGCTTGGACAACTTTTATGAATGTTATTGTTGATTTCAATTTATTTAATGATTTCCTCGATGTTTGAAACATCGCTATTTTGCTCTTTGACAATGCTATTGTAGACCCGCCGTCGGGCATAAACAAGAATCGTTGTTTTCAATAACATTGCGAAAAATAGTTTATAATTTTAATTCTGCCGATAATATATGATCAGTTGAAATTTAATAAGAGATTTCAGACATTTTTATTTGATTTAAACAACATGAATGTGCATTCAGACACTGCCTTGTTTCTTATTCAAACATCTTGTTAATGCTAAAGTGACAGTACGACAGCTTAACTTCCGTGTGCGCAGGCGCCATAAGTTTAACTTAGTTAAACCGCACTCTGTCAAAACCGCATTTTATTTGGTCCCGACTGATGCCGGTATTGACAGAGTACACTGTAATTCTTCTCCAGATCATACATCACATTCTCCCCGCTTTTCAGCACCTTCCGTACACCTGCAAATAACCACTTCACTCAGGGATATGTTTGGTGAAAAACACTTCAGCCTGTTTTAAAACATGGTCACTTTCCTAAAGTGAAGGGTGATCACAACTGTAAACTGAATAATTGTAAAGTATTTTACCAACATGAGCAAGAACAGATATATCTTCATGTTCATCTCAAATGTCAACGTTATCGAACACAAACATACAAGACTGTTATAAAGAAAACTGTATAATAAAGCCAAAATGTTCATCAGTGCAGAGAACCTGAATGAGAAGGAAAGTGGAGGTTCAAGGGGAGGTAACTTGTTATCTGGTGGAGACAATCAAAGAGGGGGATTTGCAAAAAGCTTATATCAGGATAAAAAAACATGAAACTTAAAATCACACAGGCAATATGTTTATCAGTATGAATCGGTAACCCATTCTAATTAACTATTATTCTATAAATAACTTGTGTAATGCATCAGAAAGATACAGAAAATTTGTCTTGAGCAACAGAATTTGTCATGGGGCAACCAGCAGGATCAGGTCCGACTCACTGACTCCACACGATACATGCAGCAATGGTTGATGCTCATGACATCACCCCCTGGATTTTCTGGTCAAAAATCAATTATTTTGAGTCTGTTGTCATATAGCTGGAGTGTTGTTGAATGCTGTGTGATTATTATACATATCAGTACAAACCTGAAACAAATTTCAGTATCGTGTGTACTGTCCTAAACTGAGACTGGGACATCAAACATCATAATTCATTTCCTGCCAAACCTCCTGGTATATAAGGCCCAACTCAGATTAAACTATCAAATATTCTTCTCATTCTTTCTTACTATACCTTTTCTATAGAAGATCATCCCTGAGCGAGGACCACGCAAGGTCTTGTGTGTTGTCGTGGTGACGATGTCGCAGTACTCGAAGGGGCTGGGAATCTCGTCGGCAGCCACCAAGCCACTCACATGAGCCATGTCGGCCAGCAGTAGGGCTCCCACCTCATCAGCAATCTCCCGGAAACGCTTGTAGTCCAAGTTCCGCGAGTAGCAGCTTACACCTGCAACAGCAACTGGAACCTTTAACAAGCCTTAGTGTTTAGTTGTCAGGAAGGTCATGTGACTCTGTCCAGGGAGCAAAATATCCGAAAATGGCATCAATCAGCCTTAGAAGAATTTCATACATAAGATCAAATGAATATTGTATATATTTCTGTAACTCCAAATCAAATACTTAAATAGTTAAGAGTGATCTCAACAGAGGAGGCCTAACAGCTATCAAGAAACTGATTAATCATTCAATGAACAGTAAAAAAGCTTGGACCTGACAAATCATACAACTTCTGTCTAAAAATTATATAATTCTGTTTGGGGCTTAGAATTATAAGTCTCACAACAGGTTTTCCTAGCTGCATTGTTATAATATCCTCACCAGCAACAATCACTTTTGGCAGGAACATGAGAGCATTTTCCCGCAATTTGTCATAGTCAATCAGGCCAGTACAAGGGTCGACTTTGTAGGGGAAGGACTCAAAGAACACAGACGTGGCCGACACTCGTTTGTTCTGGGTCATGAAGCCATGGCTAAGATGTCCGCCGTCAGGCAGGTAGAGGCCCATTATCCTCCCATGAGGCTCCACCACTGCTGTGTACACGGCAAAGTTGGCTGGGGAGCCAGAGAGAGGCTGGACGTTCACGCCCCATCGGTCAGCATCAAGACGAAATGCCTCCCTTGCCCTCTTCTGGCAAAGAAGTTCCACTTTGTCGATGATCTCGTTGCCGCCATAGTATCTGTTTTAAAAAAGAAGCATTCTGTGAACTTGGTCCTTCAATTATAATTTTCTTATTCTTCAACACCAAGAAACCCATTTTAACAAATATTATTTAAATACTAGATGAATAGACTTTTGGTACCGACGAAGACACTCAAAACAGGCAGTTTCACATGACTCACTACGAGATCACTACATCACTCCAGATTTCTATTTACAGATATACCCCGGTATTCTATACCATGATCCTTGGAGTATGTGTTGGTAAGACTGCTGACTATGTACAACCTACCTTTGTCCGGGCTGACCCTCGGAATACTTGTTTGTGAGACAGGAACCCAAGGCTTGCTGAACAGAGCGACTGGCAAAGTTCTCTGATGCTATCATCTCAAGCCCCTTACGTTGCCGTTCTTTCTCCAGGCGGACAAGTTCGTAGATCTCAGGATCATCTGTCTTAATATCCTCTTGCAGATTCATAATGGTGGCTGACTGTATGATCACTTAGTCACTGTGGGCAGACAATTTTACAACACACGTTTACCATTAGGATCGAGTGATACATGCCATTGTGAACAGATAATGTTACCAATGATGGTTTTGGGAAGTTTCCATGTCTTAACGAGCAAAGATTACAAATACCTTATCCTGTACAAACATACCAGTTGTAAAAATAGGAACATCCCTACATGACAAATCTAAATTTAGATATTTCAAAATGTACACTAAGATGCAGTTGCCTCTGTACTTGTATGTATTTAAACCTGTCAAGAGGTGAATGGTCTACCAGTTAATGTTAGCATAGATACACAATTCAAATTGTAATTTTCTCAATTCCTATTAAAGCATTTTCAAAAATAAGAAGATTTTAAACCATATCTCACTCCTAATTTGTATTTCAAGGCCATTTAGTTTGAAATCCAAGACAAATCACTGACATATCTTTTTTCCAACCTACGGTGTGAGATCTGCTAGCGTCAATAATCTCAGTGAATAACAAACTTTGCACTCACAAAATAATCCCAAACAAGTTGATAAGTTAAACACAATGTATTTCGCTATCAGCCCAGTAATGAATGGTTATCAGAACTTGCATGTCGGAACTATAGCATGATTAAAACATTTCATTCCACAACGTACATAGGATAGACCTGGCATATTTTATGCATTAATCAGCTAGGTTTGAGCAGCGTTTCAAACCTTGTAATGAACACAATCAAACAGTAACATTTCATGATTTATAACTTGCACAAAGGTGGCTGTGACACAGAAGGCAGCTACATGGTATATGGCAACATAGACCATACACCAGGATAGTATATGGTCTTGGATGGCAAGTACAACTGACTTACATAACGGGTTGTGACACATATCTTGTAGCTGCTGTCTGCAGTATGAGCCAGTATAATCTTGTACACTGTATCTCTGCCCTACATAATTCATCAAGTTCAGGTCCACGCGATGTCAGCATGTGGTGGGGGTGACTAATCTATTTATAGTTGGATCATTTATTGAACTAAAACATGTCCTTTGCTACCCTGGAACTATACATTGTGTATTTGCCAGACATGATTATGAACTATCTACACATATTATATAATGGGTTTAGGCCTTGAACTACAAAAAAAACAACTATATACTTAGGAGGAATCTCTCACCTTCAAACACTAGGCTGCATTAATATTCAATATCTTTTCATTTCACTGCTATTTAACAGTTGGTCCACAATGAATACAATTACTAAACGTATCTCCGCCTGAATGTAGATTGTATACATATTAGTACTAAATTTAATTACAACTGGAAAACCTGTACTGACCGCCGCCATATAGGCCTAGCAGGGATATTGCTGTGTGCGCTTTGAGCAAAATACAAAACAAATCCTTTAAACAAGCATCTGTGTATATATATTGCACGTACAGGCCTGAACGACGTAAATACAATTATGAGGATAATTATTCCTCTATCAAGTACAATTTCTTCTGAATGAAGCTGAAAGATTCACACTAACAAGTTTTGTCTTAAATCTCTCGCTCTGTATATGGCCGTATTCGGAACAGTAGGAGCTGATGTGTTCAGAATATACCACGGTACTGAATTGACAACGAAAGAAACAAGTAAATCATTGTAGTCTATATATCATATACTAAGCGAGCACATGGTGTGCACGGAGCATAACGTTACAACAATATAAACTACATCAAATGGCGCCAAATCTAGTCAAGAAATATTGCGATTAAAATATGTTTCATGTTAAATATATGTGACAAGAACCTGCTTCGGTGCTGTTATGTAAGATGAACAGTCACAGAGAAGATGACAGCTTGTCAACTGGGGGAAATCTGGTTCACCTAAATTCTCAACACACACTCACCTCGCACACGATTCTCAGAGAGAGGAGGCCGCTTGATGGTCGCAGCGGTATATATAGACACTATTGACCAATGGACGTCGCCCTTCTGTTTCCTTTAGGAACCAATCCCCAATGAAATACGTTGACACAAAGGGGCACCTTGCATAAGTTGCAAGGGGAGTAACTCAATTTTGGCGGGAATTACGATATTTTGTGTTATATAAACATAGATTATACACAAAAGAAGTATAGTTAAAAACAGACTGTCGCCTTTACCTAAGAATTGATATCCAAAATTTGGGTCAATGTGGAGGTATCACTGATGTGCATACCGTGTAAATCCGCATAAAAACTCCATAAACCAAAAAAAACCCATCAATGTTCACATTTTCCGTCGATAATCGAAAACCTCACTGGTGGCTTACTTAATCCATTAGCACGCTACAATGTAGATAGCAAGAAGAAATCAAACACATCGGTCAGCTGAACAAAATCCCCACCCATGCTGTTGTTAATAATATATAGCAATTAGAGCGTTAATTGTCATTGGGTTTTTTACAGACTGACACTATAAGTCCCAGGTTTAAAATATATTATTTAAAACATATATCTAAAAATGAAATATATATATAGTCAAAAAGGTGTCAAGTCAAATTCTCAATTTCAGGCCGAGGACTTAGGCAAACTAGATTTGATCAATCATTCTAGACTTGAGTCTGACTTTTAACATTATTCTCCACGTTCTGGGAGATAGACTGCTTTTTTAGAATAATACGGAACATGTAATGATAGCCAAATAACGTATGAATATATACAAGGTAAATACGAAGGTGTGTATTTCGTGCAGTCCCCATGGATAATGGTCAACACGTTGACGGGAGAATCATTCCCACTGATTTACCGGCCGACTGTACACATGTCATATCCTCGTCCACGGAGTTTTCTGGGACATTATTTAATTACACATTTAACAAAAACGTAACAATATGACAAACCAAATATATTTTGTTATTATCATATATCATCAATTATCACCAGTAATAGTAACTATTAATGTGAAAAAATGAGACGGCTGTTTTAGTCAGTATTTCTGGAGGTATCGCTCTCACCGTACGTACTGGGTAATCATATTAAGCGGCAATCAGTTTTTAATATCTGGACGACAATGAAAACATCAATCAAACATTGTGTCAATCACTACTAAAAGGGAACTTCATATATGAGGAATTATTTGAGGAAACCTCTCAATGGCGTTTTCTAAAGGCCACTATCCTCAAATCGTGGTATTACACAAGCTGCGTCTTCAGTGGTGCCACCGACACTAACGTACTGTATTTGCCATCCCTTTTCTAGTCACCCGTGAAGGTCCGTGTTAGAATATTGATCTTCAGTAACCCATGCTTGTCGTAAGAGGCGACTAACGGGACCGGGTGGTCAGGCTCGCTGAGTAGGTTGACACATGTCATCGGTTCCCAATTGTGCAGATCGATGATCATGCTGTTGATCATTGGATTGTCTGGTCCAGACTCGATTATTTACAGACCGCCGCCATATAGCTGAAATATTGCTGAGTACGGCGTAAAATTAAACTAACTCTTTTCTAGTCGGTTAACCTTACGTTTGGCCCCCAGTTCATAGCGACTTAATTCGCCTGAGTATGTTTATATATCATGAAAATTGAACAGATGCCACTTTTACTCGTTGACCTACCGAGAGAAAAATCAGGTTTAGGGTGTCTGGCTGGTTCTGCGTGTATAACAGTGACTTAAAAATAAAATATTAATTACAAAAATAAGACAAATCAGGTTTATAGTTTGTCATCTCAAACTGAAGTTTTCCTTCGTTGTAATCTTGTAATTTCACGATATGGATCACCTTCCCGTCAAGAGGGGTAACTGCGGATAACTGGATATCTGTCAACACTGACGGAATGTGTGTCAAACACGTTACCTGCGTGCACGACCTGGGGTCACGCCCACCTTACTGACTGGACGGCTTTGACACATGCGGCTTAAGATGTTATCCGCCGATTATGCAGATGAAAGGAACCGCTTTGATCCAGAAAACTAACGTAAATAGTTTAAAGAGGAACATGACATAAATATGCCTATGTTAACTATACAGATGTATATATATATAGAGAGAGAGAGAGAGAGAGAGAGAGAGAGAGAGAGAGAGAGAGAGAGAGAGAGAGAGAGAGAGAGAGAGAGAGAGAGAGGGAGGGTGTGTGTGTGTGTGTGTGTGTGTGTGTGTGTGTGTGTGTGTGTGTTCTATAAAGGCCAGGTATCGGCTGCATCTGGATCCCACTCCAAGACGAACGATACCCGTTGGGAATGGGAACAGACTTATCGTGCAGCATGCTGGATCACATCTGGGATTTCTGCCATGACTACCATTTGGAAAATAGTAAAGCTACTACGATCAACCCTGCTTACTCCAGCTTTTCAGTCTGAAACATCATGGCCATGAGCTCATGCGTCTCCCGCCTTATCAGTGTGATCTTATCACAGTTAAAATTATTTGGGGGCACTTCATGAAAAACGTGGCTGTAAAACATACATGTTTTACGTTGAAAGAATTCAAAAGAATATTTGAACAGGAAATCGCGATAATTACATCCGAATTTTGGCAGAAATTTGTCGACCATGTTAAGACAATGGAAGAACAACACAGGCAGAAAGACCGCCTCCAGACAACGTGCAACAGTCAAGCCAGTCGTTAAAGATTTGAATACCTATGATGTTGACACAGACGTTAGATTAGGCATCTCTAGTGGCAGTGCATCCGAGTAAATGAATTGGATTACAGTGAGTTGCAAGCTCATAGACAGATCCAGAGGGGGGTGGGGTGTTATTAAATGACCATCGAAACTCATGAAAACGGGTGAAAATGAACTGTGCAACCCCCATTTTCTGAAATGTGCATCCCCCCTTTCTCAAAAAGCTGCATCTGCCCCTGTAAGCTTTAGCGCCTCTTTTAGCACTAATAGGGTCATGGCCCATTAACCTGAAGACTCACTCGCTCACTCGACCCACAAGATGGTTTGTGGTGCAGATAGGTAGCATGTTTGGCACATATCCTGTCAGTGTCGACAGACATTCGGTTAGCAGTTATTTGATCTGAGATAACCCCTAAAACTTAGGTAAAATGATACAAATGGCAAATATCTAATTTTCTTCATACACAAGCATAGTGGTTGCCAGAAGTAAGATTGAGTGACTTGGTCTCCAACCTGTTTAAACTTGCTAACAATGATGGCTGATCGTCTCCTTGGACTCCAATGCACCAACATACAGGTACATGTATATCAATGCGTATTTGGTATCTATGTAAAATAGTATGTACATTGTAACAGTTTTACATCTTAAACTGTACTCTAGGCCTCCTGGCCTCGAAATACAATAAACTTCTGTTATTCTGGTATCTATGTAGCTGACAGGCAGCACCTGACCACATATAACAATCCCCATCATAGACACATGAACAACACAGACAGTTTTTCACGGTATTTAATATCACAGACATGTGTACAAATACTGCTGAATCAGCTCTTTCTGAGTCCATGAATTCTGTGAGAATACTCTAATAGATTTCAACAACATTGACCATCAAATAATGGTCAACAACACATTTTCCATACTGTTAAATTTGCATGATATTGCTTCAAGTCATGATCAACAATGACACAATTCAGCTATAAACCAATCATTTTTTACAACATTTTGAAAAACCCAGTCAACATGTTTCACATCTGTGGTGAGACTGGCGAGAACTCTTCCTTTCAACCAATGCAGATGAATCATTATGGTTTTACTGAGTTGTCTACTACAACGATGGTTGTTATCATCTGCCCTTCCCATCTGTATCCTCACAATCACAACTGGAACTCTTAAACAACTTTCCCATAAAAGTGAAAATTAATACCTTTTCTTAAATCCCTTCAAGAGGAATTACAATGATAAGAGAGCTGTTTGCTACACTAAGGTGACAGTTGGTTAAAACAACTGGTTCAATGTTCCCTGATACCGCTAGAGTCTGTAGCCTCTCTCTAGGAGTAGGTGTGAAACATGTGGACTTGTTTTCCACAATGTACCATATACAGATATGATGATATACTTTGTGAAATATATAAATCAGTTCAGATTCCTGAAGAAAACCTCAAACAATGATGATCCTGAACTATGGGTGTTGAACACTCAACAAGTTGGTGGGACTGTAACCAATAGTTACTGACAGTAGGCTACTGAGGAAACAGGGTCACCATGTACAATTTGCAAGAGTCTCTCAGAGAATCAGAAGGCACACAACAGATTCATTTGGACGGACTTGTTAATTCATTGTAAAATCATTCATGACATTCTGGCCAATTCTTGCTGAGATTGCAGGTAGGGAACAGTTTCATAAGTGATTCACAATCACATAGCAATGGAAACTATTTCGTTGAAGGTGAATGACTGCTGTATATCACAAGGATGTTATAGCAAATGTCGGCAAAACGGTTCTGCATCTTACCTGATACACACTACACTGTTTCAGTTCTACATTTAGAGGTTAACCAATGTTTGACCATACCGTGTCTGTGACAGGTGTTTACACAATGAATGCTTCTGCTTCTATGCCACTTGAGGAATATTCTAGCGATATCATGGTGTTAGACACTACAAATGGGTTTCACACACTGTAGCCATCAGTAGCATCAAACCCGGGCATTCAGCATGACAAGCAAACACTATGACCACAGTGTTCCCTCACTGTCTGTTTCACAATGAACTCACCTGAAACTACCAGAGAACTCTCATGTTACTGTACAGCTACGGAGGGAGAATGATGGCAAGGCTAATGAGACACAATGGCTTCAGACCTACTTCCAAGGCAATGACGTCCGTTTGAACAAAATGCAGGAAAGTAATGAACTATAAAATTAAACAGATGTACTGTCAGCAATTGATATGTCAAATATTTTCTGAGCTTCTTTTCTGAAAATGACCATAAGTTTGAGATTCAGCTGTCACTGCACGAAGGGAGTGAGGCCATGTGGAATGTGGAGAGCCATGCTTCATGTCATGTGAGATATGGAGATTTAGAAGTCATTGTCACTATCATCGAGTCCTGGTTGTGGCTGTTGGGTCCGTCTCCTTGGGGGCCCTGGTCCCATCTCCACCTCCTCATCATCATCGTCGTCATCATCATCGTCCTCGTCATCATCATCCAGGTCAATCTCAGAGTCCCCTGACCCTTCCGACCCACTTTCCTGAAGTCAAAACAGTACACACATCAGTACTAGATACTAACTGCATACATTGGTACTATTCAGAAAGTGGATTCTCAGATCTGCTGACAGACTATTGCTTTGTCTGTGAACAAAAAGTACTTTGGTAGAAACAAACAACTCCATCTTTTTAAAATGGAGCCCCTGTGAGATTCTGAATCTTTGGAAAAATCTATACATGCTTCATTTGGAGTTGGGAAGAGAAAATAATATGGTTTGGGGACTGTGGAACCAGCGAATCAACTGACCTCACTGATGTCTGGGTTCATGGCTCCCCTCACCATCCGGTTTCCTATTGTCCTGGCACCAGTAGCCGCTGAAACACACAACACAGTACACATCACTTCATATGTACACTGACGATGGAACAATGCATCTATAGCAAATGACAATGGAACAATGCATCACAAGCAAACTCAATGGGATTACTAGCTTATGATCTAGGGGAGATAACTCACCCTCAGGTCTTGTGCGATGGTGGACTGGCCTCTCTCGCTTCTCAACCTGTTCATCCTCGGATTCATTGTCATCATCATCATCTGGACCTTGGAGTAATACATGTGAATGAGTTACTGACTTTACATTCACCACATCCAGTAATACATGTGAATAAGTTTCTGAGATCATACTTTACATTCATCACATACAGTGACATCCTTGAGATCAACTGAATGTTCACCACATGCAGTAATATCTCAGTGACATCGCTGAGATCTAACTTTACATTCCTCACAACTCATGCGTCTTAGAGGGACAGGGTCACCTAGGACATTCTTCTCTACTGCTGGAGATAGCGAATTTGATTACTTCAAAGTTGTTCTGACAACTTAACAACTACAACAGATTTTCTTTACAAGTAATAGCAGTGAACAAAAACCTTAGTGCTTTCACATTATGTACATAAGAGTACAACACTATGTCAATGATAGCAGCTGCTCACTGACCGAACATGTCGTCATCCTGCTCATCATCAGGTGTTATTTGCTGCTGTTTCCTCTCCTCAGAACGAATCTTCTCTGCCATCACCTTCAACACTGCCTCCGTCTCCTGCAACACCACACACAGATAACGTGAAGTGACAAGGGTAACCACTCCACCACCACAACCACTCCTCAACATCACAGAAGGCTTGTAATACATCCACAACTCTTGTTTTGAGTTGCTACCCCAGGTTTGTCAGCCTCACTGTATGTGTATATGCTAATTTGTATGATTACTTCAGGCTTGGAAGCCTTGTGTTGATATAAATGTCTCTAACTGTGTGCGTATTGAGTGTTTGATTTAATGTGTGTGTGCATGTGCCCTGTTTGTCTCAGTACCTCAATTTTATCCGCCTCGACACGGTGGTACTCCTCCTGCTGTTGTTCCAGGTAGGTGAGGTTGCGGAACTTGATGAGGTAGGCATCGTACAGCTTCTGTAGATCTTCCTCCAGCTTCTCATACTCGTCCATGTAGGCTGGCCTGACAGGGACAGCACAGTGTCAACATAAGGTAGCAGTTATACTGGGAGCAGCACATTGCAGCAAATAGTTCTTTCCACAGATTTCTAACAGTCTGCCTGCAGACCCCATATCTCCAATGATATGTTTTCAGTGTGCATTTATGTTCCACTTTGTCAGAATGCACATACAAAATTTGACATATTTCACCATCAGATGGAAGTGAGTGAGTGAGTTGAGCTTCATGCTACTGTTACCAGCACTCCAGCTGGGGACACCAGAAACAACCTGGTACACACTTGGTGAAAAGAGCCAATTCCAACAGCATGATTTAACCACTAAACTCCCAATCACCAATTCTATTAAACCATATTTTGATGCTGATGTCCAGCAACTATTTTTGTTTGTTCCATTTACCTGACACTCTGGAGAGTCTGCAGCCTCTTCTGGTTACGGTCCAGCTCCGTCTTCTTCTTCTCAATCTTGGCCTCTAAGTTGGCCTCATCTGATGCAACGTTGTCCAGCATATTAAGAGTCTTCTTTATTTCATTCTGGGGGGAAAAGTTTACTGCAGTTGTATAAACTTGGTCTGATTTATCCATCCATCTGATCAATACTACAAATGTACAGATTGCATTTCTATGACTATCATTACTCTCAGTCTTTAACACAGACATACTGCAGGTAAGTGCTACAATTATCATTACTTCCATTCTTTAACACACTGTACGGTTCCAGCCAAGAGGGATCTGGCACCCACCTCAACAGCCCTGATGGATGCTTGTAGACCACTCTCCACTTCATTGATCTCCAGTGTGCGACCAACCACCATCACGCGCATTTCCTGTAAACAAACACAGGGAAAATGTTTTCTGTCAGATCCACCCTATTAAGAAATACTTTAGGCATAAAAACGTATCAAGTAAACTCAACAAGCATTAAACTTAGTCTAGTAGAAGTGTGTAGTTTGTCTTAGAACAGTAATGGCAACGATGTAAAATGTCCAGTCAGTAGTACCGACATTAACTGATCCTAGGATGTGATGTCTATACAATCTGATTTACCCTTAGGTCGACCTCCTTCCCCAGAAGGTCGTACAGGCTTGCACCCTTGGATGTGATTTCTGATGCCAGTCGACGTGCTTCTTTGAGGTCACTTATCTGTAGTAGACAGATGAAATAATGATACATCTTGCAGTAAAACAATCAGACAGATTCCATTGACAAGTATAAATGCAAAACAAGCCAAAAGATTAAGCACTTTTCCCTCCATAACTGACCATGCTTTTCCCAGTAAGCTCATTGAATGGATCCACTTCACTCAGTAGGGGTTTAGCAAATGTTGAGATGGTCCAACGAGTGATGGTAATATGGCCAGTATTGAAGGCTTAGAAAACATTCAGGTTAATAATGTATATCTTCTGTCTTATTTGTACTGGAAGTGATAGCACCAACACAACTTTGGTTATCACATATATTTGGCAGGTCCTACAATTAGCCAATATATGATTAAGTTTTTGAATGGTAAACTTATTGACCATACTGATTTGTAAAGTTTTGGAAAAAATGAACCCAAAGCTTCAGGAAGATAGTTTATACCTATGCTGGGTTAACTGTAATATAACTGTCACCTTTGATGAGACATCAAATGAAATGTTAGAAGAATCTTCATCTGGGTTCTCCAAAGACTGGACCACATTTGTTTTCATGGCATTGTACAGGACTGAAGTTGCTTTAAGGAGTTCCTTTACAGCATAGCCATCAGCACCATACAGTTTCTTGGTGTTCAGCTTGATGTGAGCCTTTGTTGCCTGAACACAAAACATGACATGCAATAACCATGTTACAGGAAATCCTGCACATGACATAGATTCTGAGAGGTGACAAGTGACAATCAAATCTCATGCAGCTCAACTGGAGGTGGAGTCCAGTGTCATCTCATAAATACAAAAAATCCAAAGATTTAACATGTAAACAAGTAAGAAATGATTCACTTTAAACACAACATGTCTGGAGTTTACACTGATAATTAACATTGAGCATTGTGTATCATGGATAAAACAGTTTATGTCAGCATGGATAAAACAGTTTATGTCAGCATGGATAAAACAGTTTATGTCAGCATGGATAAAACAGTTTATGTCAGCATGGATAAAACAGTTTATGTCAGCATGGATAAAACAGTTTATGTCAGCATGGATAAAACAGTTTATGTCAGCATGGATAAAACAGTTTATGTCAGCATGATAAGAAGTTCAGCAAAATATAAGTTTTACCATAAACTCAGCTGCTAACTTAATGAATATGACCCTGTCCTGTTCTGTGTCGATGTCTGAGTGTACATCAGCATTAGGATCAAACCTGGAGCAGAAACACAACACATGACTAATGATACAAAATTACAACACACATATCATAGAACATCTGAACGAGAGCAACAATGACACAGTTAATTGATAAACCTTGAGTATATTAGTATCCAGGGCATAAAGAGATGTGACCACAACGAAAGACTGAAGACGAGGGCCTTAAAATACACCCCAATGTTACTGTTATAATTAGGAGTGCCAAGATTCATACTGAAACAGCGTACCTGGCGGACCACAGGCCCAACTTAAAATTGCAAACACTGGACATACAATAAATGAGCTACCATATGAACACCTCATGAATTACATGCTGCTGGTTGATGATGCAGTCACGTTCACCTAGGTGAGAATAAGATGAAAATACAAAGTGTTGCACAATGTTTGGTAACTCTTGAGGTCTCAAACATATGTGTAAAAAGAAACACGAAGAACTTGCTTACCTTTTCACTAGCCAAGTGAGGACTTCTGCTACAAGGGGAAAGTTAGGATTACGAAAGTTTTCCATAGAGATGAGACGATGATAGCCAAGGGCCCGCATCATCTCTGTGAAATCTGCAACAGATGAATGAAAGATGGATACAAACATCATATTGGTAATATGTATGTTTAGGCATAAACAAAAAGTGATTGCATCGAAGTCTAAGCAGTTATTCATAAAAGTTAAAGTAATGCCACTTCCATCAGTGTAACCAACAAAGCAAACTTGATTAGTGCAGAATATCTATCAAATTGGTTTCAAATTTAACACACTTTGACCTGGAGGTTCATGTGCTCCCTGAAGTAAACAAACAAGGCCACAATTATCTGTGTTACATGGAGAACAATACGGTAAGAGTTCCTCCCGTTCCCCATCCAAAACAATATTTATAAATATACTAAAATTATTAACAAAACTTAACACAACAATTACTAGAGAACTCACAAAATGACTAACGCTTAGTAAACATGATAATGCTGTTACCATGACCATCAAACAGTACTGAAGTTCAGTTCAATCTTTTATAGAAAAATATACACATTGTCCTTTCCATCACTGTCTCCGCACGTTTGAGAATTCTACAGCGTAGCAAAAGAGCTCATGGTTATGAAGAGTACTCACTTCTTAGATCCCTGTAAGACATTTTGATAACAGCTTAAATATTCTTAAACGTTACTTCAGGATCATTCTCATGTTCATCGCTTCTGAAATATTTTGACATGCGTAAACTCGTTTCCTGTACAGCGTCCTCTATAAACAGTTTTGCACCATGGAGAAAGGGGAGGCCACTCCCGTGTTTTGTGACGATGAACGGTCTGAAGTGCGAGATTGAACCGTTAATAAAATCCACTCTGTTTTACAGTGGTTGTCTGTGTGAAGCTGTGTGACTGAGGATTGGCTGTGTGCGGCTGCGTGACTGATGACTGTCTGCGTGAAGCTGTGTGACTGTCAGTCGTACGGAATTTAATCTGTGTGCAACTGAAGCTATATGTGACTGTCGGATCTCTATGGTGATCTGCCGTACAGACCCTGAAACAAATATATCCAAGAAAGCCAATGAAAGTCTAGAATGTGTGGCAAGTCTAGATTTCCACAGTTTCTGAAAATGAAGAAAGTCTGTGGTCTCCTTTTCACTTTAGTTTATGATTATAATTTCTGAACCATTTTTCAGTAATATATGTCCATGGCAGAGACTAGATTTTAGTATATATCTCTATGGATATTAGGGACCGTACATAATGTATGGCTAGGGGTGTGTGTTGGGACGTGTGTGTTCACCCATTTTCTTCTAGGAGGAGGGGTCGTCAGTTTTGTACACGTGTGGGGGTGGGGATAATTTATTTTGTACTTGACATGCGGGAGTTGGGGGTGTGGGTGGGGGTATCATTCACATTGTACATGCTTCTCCATGAAATAAACTTCATCACTAACCATAAATTAAGGACTGTCCCTTAGGCTCTTTCTCGGTTGTCTATGTGTAGCTGTGTGATTGAAGGCTGTATGTGTGTGACTGTGTGACTGAGGGTTGTGACTGTGTGACTGAAGGTTGTCTGTGTGTAGCTGTGTGACTGGGTTGTATGTGTGTGATAGGGTTGTCTGTGTGTGACTGAGGGTTGTCTGTGTGTAGCTGTGGGTTGTCTGTGTGTGACTGAAGGTTGTCTGTGTGTGACTGAGGGTTGTCTGTGTGTAGCTGTGTGACTGCCGATCGTCTGTGTGATGCTGCTTTAATTACTTTTTTCTATGTGTAGCCGTAGCCGTGTGATTGTCGGCTGTCTGTGTGTGACTGTGTGTTGTCTGTGTGTGACTGTGTGACTGCCGATCGTCTGTGTGATGCTGCTTTATTTACTCTTGTCTATTTGTAGCCTTAGCCGTGTGATTGTCGGCTGTATGTGTGTGACTGTGTGACTGTGGGTTGTCTGTGTGTGAATGTGTGTTGTCTGTGTGATGCTGCTTTAATTACTATTGTCTATGTGTAGCTGTAGCCGTGTGCCTGTCGGCTGTCTGTACATATGGACAATCTCAATGGATATTAGGATCTATCAGTTACTCGTGAAGATCCGGGTTAGAATTGATCTTCAGCAACCCATGCTTGTCATAAGAGGCGACTAACGGGATCGTGTGGTCAGGCTCGCTGACTTGGTTGACACATGTCATCGTATCCCAATTGCGTAGATCGATGTTCATGATGTTGATCACTGGATTGTTTTGTCCAGACTTGATGTTTTACCGACAGCCGCCATGTAGTTGGAATATTGCTGAGTGCGGCGTTAAACAACCAACCAACCGTCTATCAGTTACTAGTCAGTTACGGTGGCGTGGAAGACCGAAGTGCTGATCTGATGTAAGACGTATGCCATTGACACTGTACAACTGCTGCTACTGGTCGGACAGTTTGCATCTGGGATCGACTGGTCCAGTTTCACCCTTTAAAGACTCATACAATTTCAACACTTATGGCTAGCAATTTAAGCTTTTAATATTCAATATATTTTGTATCTCCAAATCTATAGGAATTAAAAAAAAATACTTTCCTACCCACGTACGTACCTATACCTACCTATTAGTTACTAGTCAGTTAGAGTGGCGTGGAAGACCTTTCTCGCTGTATGGGTCCTGTATGTACTGAATAGTCTGTATGTACTGCCCGTGGTTCTATAAGTCAGTTAGAGTGGTGTGGAAGACCTTTCTCTCGCTGTATGTTTCCTGTATGTACTGAATAGTCTGTATGTACTGCCCGTGGTTCTATAAGTCAGTTAGAGTGGCATGGAGGACCTTTCTCTCGGTGTATGTTTCCTGCATGTACTGATAATAGTCTGTATGTACTGCCCGTGGTTCTATAAGTCAGTTAGAGTGGCGTGGAAGACCTTTCTCTCGGTGTATGTTTCCTGTATGTACTGATATAGTCTGTATGTACTCCCCGTGGTCCTGTAAGTCAGTAAGAGTGGCGTGGAAGACCTTTCTCTCACTGTATGTTTCCTGTATGTACTGATAATAGTCTGTATGTACTGCCCGTGGTTCTATAAGTCAGTAAGAGTGGCGTGGAAGACCTTTCTTTCACTGTATGTTTCCTGTATGTACTGATAATAGTCTGTATGTACTGTCCGTGGTTCTGTAAGTCAGTTAGGGTGGTGTGGAAGACCTTTCTCTCGCTGTATGTTTCCTGTATGTACTGATAATAGTCTGTATGTACTGTCCGTGGTTCTGTAAGTCAGTTAGGGTGGTGTGGAAGACCTTTCTCTCACTGTATGTTTCCTGTATGTACTGATAATAGTCTGTATGTACTGTCCGTGGTTCTGTAAGTCAGTTAGGGTGGTGTGGAAGACCTTTCTCTCACTGTATGTTTCCTGTATGTACTGATAATAGTCTGTATGTACTGTCCGTGGTTCTGTAAGTCAGTTAGGGTGGTGTGGAAGACCTTTCTCTCGCTGTATGTTTCCTGTATGTACTGATAATAGTCTGTATGTACTGTCCGTGGTTCTGTAAGTCAGTTAGGGTGGTGTGGAAGACCATTCTTTCACTGTATGTTTCCTGTATGTACTGATAATAGTCTGTATGTACTGTCCGTGGTTCTGTAAGTCAGTTAGGGTGGTGTGGAAGACCTTTCTCTCACTGTATGTTTCCTGTATGTACTGATAATAGTCTGTATGTACTGTCCGTGGTTCTATAAGTCAGTTAGAGTGGCGTGGAAGACCTTTCTCTCACTGTATGTTTCCTGTATGTACTGATAATAGTCTGTATGTACTGTCCGTGGTTCTGTAAGTCAGTTAGGGTGGTGTGGAAGACCTTTCTCTCGGTGTATGTTTCCTGTATGTACTGATAATAGTCTGTATGTACTGTCCGTGGTTCTGTAAGTCAGTTAGGGTGGTGTGGAAGACCTTTCTCTCACTGTATGTTTCCTGTATGTACTGATAATAGTCTGTATGTACTGTCCGTGGTTCTGTAAGTCAGTTAGGGTGGTGTGGAAGACCTTTCTCTCGGTGTATGTTTCCTGTATGTACTGATAATAGTCTGTATGTACTGTCCGTGGTTCTGTAAGTCAGTTAGGGTGGTGTGGAAGACCTTTCTCTCGCTGTATGTTTCCTGTATGTACTGATAATAGTCTGTATGTACTGTCCGTGGTTCTGTAAGTCAGTAAGAGTGGCGTGGAAGACCTTTCTCTCACTGTATGTTTCCTGTATGTACTGATAATAGTCTGTATGTACTGTCCGTGGTTCTATAAGTCAGTTAGAGTCGTGTGGAAGACCTTTCTCTCACTGTATGTTTCCTGTATGTACTGATAATAGTCTGTATGTACTGTCCGTGGTTCTGTAAGTCAGTTAGGGTGGTGTGGAAGACCTTTCTCTCGGTGTATGTTTCCTGTATGTACTGATAATAGTCTGTATGTACTGTCCGTGGTTCTGTAAGTCAGTTAGGGTGGTGTGGAAGACCTTTCTCTCGCTGTATGTTTCCTGTATGTACTGATAATAGTCTGTATGTACTGTCCGTGGTTCTGTAAGTCAGTAAGAGTGGCGCGGAAGACCTTTCTCTCACTGTATGTTTCCTGTATGTACTGATAATAGTCTGTATGTACTGTCCGTGGTTCTGTAAGTCAGTTAGAGTGGCGTGGAAGACCTTTCTCTCGGTGTATGTTTCCTGTATGTACTGATAATAGTCTGTATGTACTGTCCGTGGTTCTGTAAGTCAGTTAGGGTGGTGTGGAAGACCTTTCTCTCGCTGTATGTTTCCTGTATGTACTAATAATAGTCTGTATGTAAGTTTCCCGTGGTTCTATAAGTCAGTTAGAGTGGTATGGAAGACCTTTCTCTCGGTGTATGTTTCCTGCATGTACTGATAATAGTCTGTATGTACTGTCCGTGGTTCTGTAAGTCAGTTAGGGTGGTGTGGAAGACCTTTCTCTCGCTGTATGTTTCCTGTATGTACTGATAATAGTCTGTATGTACTGTCCGTGGTTCTGTAAGTCAGTTAGGGTGGTGTGGAAGACCTTTCTCTCGCTGTATGTTTCCTGTATGTACTGATAATAGTCTGTATGTACTGTCCGTGGTTCTGTAAGTCAGTTAGAGTGGCGTGGAAGACCTTTCTCTCACTGTATGTTTCCTGTTTGTACTGATAATAGTCTGTATGTACTGCCCGTGGTTCTGTAAGTCAGTTAGAGTGGCGTGGAAGACTTTTCTCTCTGTATGTTTCCTGTATGTACTGATATAGTCTGTATGTACTCCCCGTGGTTCTGTAAGTCAGTTAGGGTGGTGTGGAAGAACTTTTTCTCACTGTATGTTTCCTGTATGTACTGATAATAGTCTGTATGTACTGTCCGTGGTTCTGTAAGTCAGTTAGGGTGGTGTGGAAGACCTTTCTCTCACTGTATGTTTCCTGTATGTACTGATAATAGTCTGTATGTACTGTCCGTGGTTCTATAAGTCAGTTAGAGTGTCGTGGAAGACCTTTCTCTCACTGTATGTTTCCTGTATGTACTGATAATAGTCTGTATGTACTGTCCGTGGTTCTGTAAGTCAGTTAGGGTGGTGTGGAAGACCTTTCTCTCGCTGTATGTTTCCTGTATGTACTGATAATAGTCTGTATGTACTGTCCGTGGTTCTGTAAGTCAGTTAGGGTGGTGTGGAAGACCTTTCTCTCACTGTATGTTTCCTGTATGTACTGATAATAGTCTGTATGTACTGCCCGTGGTTCTGTAAGTCAGTTAGAGTGGCGTGGAAGACTTTTCTCTCTGTATGTTTCCTGTATGTACTGATATAGTCTG